TCTGGGCTTGGCAGCTTCCTTGCAGATGTTTCATTACCCAACTAGGAAACATCATCAGTGCTAGAAAGGGGGAGGAGGAGTCGGAGGAGGAGTTGGAGGAGGAGGAGGAGGAGGAGAAGGAGAAGGAGAAGAAGAAAAAGAAGAAAGAGAAGAAGAAGAAGAAGAAGAAGAAGAAGAAGAAGAAGAAGAAGAAGAAGAAGAAGAAGAAGAAGAAAAGAAGAAGAAGAAGAAGAAGAAGAAGAAGAAGAAGAAGAAGAAGAAGAAGAAGAAGAAGAAGAAGAAATAATAATAATAATAATAATAATAATTATTATTATTATTATTGTCCTTGGTGCTCCCTAAGCTTGGTTGCAGATGTTTCATTACCCAATTAGGTAACATCATGAGTGCTCCTAGCTTTTTATACAGGAGTATCTACTAATAAATATCTCTGTTTGACTGGCCAACTGATTTTAATAGATTACTGTATTAGTACTTAAAATCAGTGGTCACATCATCCATTCTCAGTTCAGGGGCTCTAATGACCGGAAAGAAGTCTAAAGCCTTGCAATTTTATTATATATAAAAATACTGTGCTTATTGATAGAAGAAAAACCTTCTTTTAAGATATCGGAGTGATTTTTTTGGGTAGTTTTCTGTACTTAATTGCTAACAAATTAGACTCCAAGTTACTTTTAAAAGAAAGCTTCCTTTATCCATAGGCCTCCATTGCTCAAGGGGTATTATTACAGATTCGTGCAGGGAAGGTTCAGAGCTTAATTGGTTTAACTGAGTAACATTCGTCTTCCTTTCTTTGAGTAAAAAAATAATAATCTACCACTTGCTCACAAAAATATTGCTCAGAGCGTTGATTGAGTTGAATTTCCTTCCTAGTGATTATATTCATGTTCTTTTCTTGGCAAGGACAGGGAAATAGTTTGTCACCACTGTTTTTTCTGGGGTGTTTTTCAATTTCCTGGCTAGTCTAAATGTGCACGTACCATCAATGTTCCAACTGACGAACCCAACCAAAGCAAGCACGGTGGAGACAATCCAATCTATTGAGTGCATCATTTCAGCACTGACGAGGGCAAAACCAGATCTAGCTCTTCCCTGTGCAAACCCACATAATTAAAGTATAGGATTCTCCCTTCCCCTCTTAGTGCAGGTCCCAGTGTCCACATGGCGTGTCATTGTATTGTTATGAGAAAAAGTCTCTGGCTCTGGCGAATACCTGCCAAAGTGTCCTTGGTTCTCACAGCTCGTCTTGGCATCTGCAGCCTCCATTCCATCTCCCCCTTCCCTCCCCTTTGGGTCATTGGCAAGCTGAGAAGTGACAATGGTTGCAAAGCATAAGCATGCTTCGAACTTGACATGTACATTGAATTCTTCCACACAGTCTTGGGGATTTTTATAAGAAAACCAGAAAATATATCGAACGTTGAAACATCTCGGTTTGGCCTTAGACCAACTTGCATTGTAGCAAATCAAATCTTCAAATCTGACTTGCTGCAAGGCGTGTTCAGAGCTGACGGGCTCCTTAGTGAACTTGGAGCCCAACATCTTCCTGATAACATTTTGTGGAATATATAGTCTCCCTCCCAACCGCCTAGAAATCCTTTCAGAAATAGCTTCCTTTTCTTCTTTGCAGGAGCAACTGTTGAAACGACGCTGGGAAATGTTAATATTAAGCCAGAAATGTTTGTGCCATCTGAAACAAAGCTGCCCGATGTTCATTTCTATTACAAGTAAGTAGAAGAACGAATCATTCGATTCTTCATTTTCCTTTGCAATCTGCAGAGGGGAGGTGAAAATTCAGGAGAAGCTTCCATTGTCACCAAGGGCGAAATTAAATAGTCAAGAGGCACCATAATTTGTTTTGACTGTGGGTGTTAATAACCCTCCTGTAATATTATCCTCCCCCCCCCCCCCCCGCTACGTTCTGTTTAGCATCATATGTAATATTATAAATATGGTTCGTGTCCTTTTTTCATAGGATTCAGTTCTTCTTCTTGGCCAACCAATTTTATTCTTGCTCTTCACACGGCTGCCTTCTTAATTTCTGCAAAATGATTGGAGAAATAAAGCCTCTGATAGCACAATTAAAAGACATTCTTCTCTTTACCCGGACTGTCGGTCTAACTCAGTATTCTGGGTCTTAATAAAGGAGAACATTTGTAGCTCAGGATTGAAATGAGGAGTCCCTAGTGTTCTCTAAGCTTGGTGGGTTTTGTCAAAGCATTTGCAGCTTGACTGCTATTGTGAGACAACCCAGGACCAAAACAGAGCACACAGAGGCTTAGTCATTTAACAGTGGTTTATATACAAGACAGTTATATACAGAAATATATGTGGTAGGCAAATACCTGGCAAGCAATCAATCTTCTTGACTCTGTATGGAGAACTCTACAATGAAGACAGGACACAAGGAGAGAGAATACGCCCTCTCATGGCTGCCTTTATATAGACAACTCTTAAAGTGGTAAATACTTCTGTGGACCCATTCTTAGTCTTAAAAAGGCAGTACGTTTGCTGATTCATCCTTATTGCATCAGCCTTACATTGCATCAGCCTTACAGCTGCTGGTCAGCTCTTACATCTAAGTACCTTAACAGTTTTCTTGCAGATGTTTCATGACCCAACTAGGTAACATCATCAGTGCTAGAAGGGGAGGTGTTTGTGGAGAAGGGAAAGAAGGCAGACTGGGGTCCCGGGTGCTCTCTGAGCTTGGTGATTTTCTTGCAGATATTTCATGACCCAACTAGGTACAACATCATGCATCACTGATGATGTTACCTAGTTCAGGTGATGAAACACCTGCCAGAAAACAACCAGGCTCAGAGAGCACCAAGAGCCCTTCATTCTGGAAGTCAGTAGGGAAAGCCAGGTTCTCTTAATGACCATGTCATTCACTTAACGAATGCCTTGCTTAGCAATGGGAATGCTGGTCTCAATTTTGGTCGTAAACCAAGGACTGTCCGCAATGGACAAATAGGGGAACATTAGACTGGGGGAATCACTCTCTTCAACTTTCTTCCATGGTCCCACTCCCCAAGTTTTCAGAAATATTTATTAAATGTGCACTGCCAAGTCTCAAATAACATGGAAGTTAAGCAGAGTTAGATTTGTCTAGTGAGTCCCGTAAAAGGAAATAAAGATGTAGGCTAGACTGGAAAATAATAATAATAATAATAATAATAATAATAATAATAATAATAATAATAATAATAATAATAATAATAATAATTAATAATAATACTTTACCTTAACAGCTCAGGTTTTTCACTTGAACTGTTAAGTTTTTATCAGTCCCAGACTGTGAATATTAATAATAATAATAATAATAATAATAATATTAATAATATTAATAATAATAATAATAATAATAATAATAATAATAATAAACAATAAATCTGAAAGAATGCAATGGCAGAAAATGTCAGTAAAATAGCTTGCATGAATTCACAGTCTCCAGGGGTAGAGCTTGACTCAAGAGTATCCTATATCTTAGTGCCAAATCCAGAGTTGCTAATAAATATGATAAAAACTGGCAATCACTTCATAAAGCCTCTAGCTAAGAAGACCCCCCCCTCCAAAATGAAAAACACCTGGGTTTTTTTCACTGCAGGAAGCTGAGAGAGACCCTGCGTCTCTCTGGGTAACACCTGGAACCCCCTTTTCTCCTTTCTGCCCAGGTCTTCAGGTGCTTCAGCCACTTGTGAAAATGGCCGCAGGTCTGTTGTGACAATGAGGTGCAACCCCACGAAACTCGGCCAGGGAGAAATTTCAGTTCCCAGGTATGTGTTAAGACAGGAAACTCGAGCGGACGCAGGGGGTGGGATTCTTCCGGTTTGGACCAGTTCTGTAGAACCGGTTGTTATGATTCTGCGCAGTTCGGAGAACCAGCTAATTGTGTCCCTGGCTGGTTCCGCCCCTCTCCGCTTGCCCCTCCGTTCCCCTCCCAGTCAGTCCTTATCGTGCATGGTCAACATGGCATGCATGTCCGACATCGCTGACTGCGTTCTCCTCTGCCCAGTCACTCCTTGAGGTATTTCTTTCCCCCCCCTCTCCCGACGATCAGCTGTTCCGATGATCAGCTGTGCCGTGACCCCCCTCACTGTGTTACCGCTTCGCCCAGGAGGCTCCCGTGAGGCAAACAGGGGAGTGTGGGGGAGGGCTCCTTGTAATGAAAAGAAAGCTAGTGTCTTTAGTGTCTACAGAGATTGTCAGGCATCCAGGTCATGGTTTATCCCAAAAGTGCTTTTTCAAGAGGCAGCTGGACTTTCTGGTTTTTTCCCTCCCTTGAGAACACTTTGCTTCTCATTCAAGAGAAGTTGAGAACCGAAGACGCTTCTGGGATGAGAAGTGAAACGTTTTCAAGGGGGGGGGGGGAGAAACCAAGGAAGTCCACTTCCCTTTTGAAAAAGCACCTTTGGATCTAAATTTTAGTGAGAATTGAATGAAAAACAAAAGGCTTAACCTTTTCCCCATCCAGGCTCACCTGTGCCTTGAAATCTATCCACAGATGTGGTCCCTGAACACCATCTTTTAAAAAAAAACAACCTCTGGTTTGGAATGTCATGCTCCCATTTTTCTTCCAAACAAATTGCACTCTTACTCTGTAGGATTTTTTTTCTTCCTCTGCCTATTCACCTGCAGAGGATCTTCTGAATTTGACCTTGTGGTTTAGGTTAGACCAAATGAGATGCCCTCCCCTTTACGATAGTTCCACCAACCTGAACTCTTAGCCATGTGCAAACTAAATTATAAACCATGTACGGATTGATGCTCACCAAAGAGCAGCCCCTGGATGACTCCAGATGTGCAGGCTGCTAACTCAGAGTCAAAAGAGGAGGAGACGGTGTGTTGGAGATTTTGAATCCTTGTTGGAAAAGGTCCTGAAAGGACGCTGAGCAATGAAGTGGAAGAGGGTCCATTAAAGAAGCCGAGTGCTCATAATATATTTATCCTGGACCCAGGAGACAAACGACCACAGTTTTGCATTTTTCAGAACATTGTCAATGGCCAACTTGGCAACGTGTGTGTGTGATTTTTTTGCAGTTCATGGACTGGGGGTGTGACAGGGAGGAAGTCTCTTTGAGAACCAATTAAGTTAACAATTTTCTCCCTTCTGAATGCACCACTCTAACCCAGCCAGCATTTCTCCTCCAGTTCTTGTCCTGCAGGGACCTGTGATGGGTGTGGATTCTACTTCTTGTGGGAAAGTGCAGAAGCTTGTCCCATGTGCACCGAGCAGGACTACCACGAGATCGAGGGTGCTTGTAAAAAAGGACACCAGGTAATTAACTGGTTGCATCTTCGGTGGCAGCTCAACACAGGTTGTGTAGTTGCACATTATGCTTTCTGTCTTATTAAAAATTATAACTCGGTTACAAATTTGGGTAAGGAAGGCATGAGGAAACCCAAACGTATCACCAGTGATCTTGGGCCTTCATTTTTTTCCTCCCACGAGAAAAGCTGAAACACAACTTCAAAATCTCTATGTATAAGAGCAAAGAAGCACTCACGCATCATCACAAAATCTACAGAACCGTAATGCCTACAATGTACTTGAAATTTGGCCCATATGTTCCTCTTGGCTTCTAGATGCTCACTAAGGAAGGATTTTTCCAAATGACCCTCAGAGCATTTAGAGTATTTCCTATATTATCATTATTATTAACACGCTCTGATGCTAAGGAGTTCTACTCCCCCTCCCCACCTGAAAAAAAGAAATATCTTCCAAAGGCAAAACACAAGCAGAGGAGTTTCACTTTCACTTTCACAGCAGCACCAAGCAACTTTAGTGCAGAACAGTTGAGCTAAGCCACGCCCAGGCTCCTTGCTGTCTCCTTTTTGCTCACACAGCAAATACTCTTTCAGTTTCCAAACAACCCTCAACTCTCTCACACACGGACAGGACGCTAGCCAGGTGAATACCGATGGATGCTGGTAGGCAGAGGCAGAATTTCCCCCCCCCCCCCTTATTTTCCTCCCCCAAAACTAAGCCCAACCACGTAGTTTTGTAGCGAAGCATGGGTACAGAGCTAGTCCGAGAATATACTAAGTCTTAAAATGAGTACAAACTTTTCAGTGAGAAACACGAAGAAGGGAATAATATGCCGTTTGTTGAAGACAGTTATATGCAAACCATCCCTTTGATCACTGGTTTTAGGTAAACTGCTGGATCTGGGGATAAAAACGGGTGTGGATGAATGCTCTTGGATCTCTTGAATTTAAAAGAAAGGGTGGGAAACTTGCCAACCCTCTTAAATGTGGCCATATAATGATGATATCCACAGGGTATAAAGTAAGACATAGATGGCGAAAAATATTGTTTGAATGGAAGATTTAGTCCCAAATAAAGAGGGCCAGGTCTTCCTTCTATGGAGATTCTCGTTCATCCCAGGCAGGGGTGGGATTCAACCGGTGTTACTTCCGGTTTGGTGACTACGTTTTTTTTTCTTATTTTTTTTTTTAAGTAAAAGTTTTATTGACTTTGACAACAAACAAAAACACATAAAACATAAGACATCAAACATAAAAGCATCATCCTCCTTCATAAATTTACAGACAGTGTATCGGTTGGTTTACCACTCTTTTTTGTGCATCCATTTCATAGTCACCATTGTAATTATGTTACATAATAACTCATATTATCAATCAACAATTATATATCCTAATATTATTATTAAACAATCATTTGACTATAATTTTATTAATTCATACTTAAGCGAGATAACTATAATTTACTTAATTTATTTTATAACAGATCATAAAATCATACCAAGTCTATCTTAATAAAATTTTATAAAGATGTTATCAAAACAGAAGAAAACAAAAAAAATGTATATTCATTATTATTTCCTAAGTTTCTGAATATTCTATTATTATATTGTATTATCTAACCATTGATAAAAAAGATCCCAAACTTCATAAAATTGTTTATCTTCTTGTTCTCTAATTTCAAATGTCAATCTGCTCATTTCAGCACATTCCAATACTTTCTTAATAATTTCTTCGGTTTGGTGACTACGTTTTGACAACCATGACCTGGATGACTGAAAATCTCCCTAGGTGGAAGGCGCAATCCTTGCTTTTTGCAAAGATTCTTACAGAAAATGCTAAGAATTCCCTGGCCCAGACAGGAAAGTACTTCTTCAGCAAAAAGATACTTTCAGCGACATGAAGATTAGTTCAGCTTCTAGAAGAAATATCTTGAATGGGACGTCTTGCTTAGAAGCATAACAAGGAGGAGCCAATTAAATGTGCTGAACAACAAGGAAGAGAGGAAGGGGAAAAAACATTACTAGTTGTGTTTCTATCCTGACTATTTACTTACAGTGGGATTATTTGTCTCAGTGGAAATCCTAGGTGATGGTTGATTAGATCCTGAGGCTTTCACTTTGATATTAAACTATTTAAATGATGCATTTACGTATATATACACGCATGATTTCTTAGGCCTCCTTAGCTTTCATGGAACTGACTGACTATGTCATTGCTTAAACATGAGCTCTGTAGGACTTGAATGGAATTGCCTCCTAGGAAAAACCAAATGTATAAAATTGATGGATTATTGATTGGTTGATTGGTTGACTGATTCATTCCTTCGTTCGTTCTCTCTCTGTCTTAGGAAACCTTATACGTCTGGAATGAACCCAAGTTCTGTATAAAAGGGGTTTCCTTGCCTGAGAAAAAGATTATAATCTGTGAAACGGTGGATTTCTGGCTGAAAGTCGGCGCAGGGGTTGGTGCCTTCACAGGAGTCCTGCTCATTGCCTTAACTTGCTATTTCTGGAAGAAAAATCAGAAGTGAGTCCTATACGTCCTTTTTAAAGAAGATATCGAGTTGATCAGCTGATTTTGCAGAGTTAAATCCATCAGTTCAGAGTTCTGGGTTTTTCTGGCTTTCTAGATCTCTTGTTCTCAGCTGACAAGAGTTTCTGGGGTGCCTCTTTTTATCCTTTCCCCCCAAATTAATAATCTCATCTTCTTCTGCCCTCCCCCCAATTTTTCTCATTAAGAAGAAATCCTAGCCGAATCAACAAAGCCACGTTTAATTAGATCTCACCCCTTGCTGTAGCCTCACAAAGGCGTAAATTTACAATTACTTTGGGGTCTCTGAGCTTTGTGATTTTCTTGCAGATGCTTCATTACCAAACTGGGTAACGTCATCAATGTACTTATAATTGCTTTGCTTCCTGCCTGTCTGAGAGGCAGCTTGTCCTCCCGTTGGTGGAGAGTTGCATTGGCCCACCTCCCCATTCCTGATCTCCCACCACTAGTTTGGCATATTGCCTTGCTAAAGGAGCCAACCTGCAGGATTCTTGCCATCTTGCAACATAAATTATACAGGAGGGGGAGGAATGGCCCATGAAAACACCCCAAAAGTCTTCTGTGCTTTGGATCTACAACTTATATTTGTATTAGTTTGTTTCTGAATCTGGTACGAAGTTCTGCTCAGTTGTATTAAAGATCAACCTGAAGAATCTTTTCTTATCTCACTGGATAATACCTCCAGGTATAGTCTGTGTGAGTTGACAAGATTGCTTCTTTTTTTATTATTAGTTTATACTATAAAATAAAATAAAAATTAGTAGGAAGATAGGGGAGGGAGAAGGGAAGAGAAAAGGGGAGAAAAAAAAGGGGGAAAAGAAAGAAAAAGCGTTGGATTCTGACTTCCTTTGGGGCAGTAGAAAAAGATAGTAGCATCAAAGCTCAACCTTTTACTTTTACAGAACAGTATAAACTAGCCATTTCCATAGTAACAAACCTAACAAATTGGTAAAACCCAAAATCAACATTTTATTTTTTCCATCTCAAGCACAAAGTCCAGAAGCGGTTTCCAAGAAGAAACAAAATAATTGTGTTTTTTTCTTTAATAAGAAGCATAATTTCTGAAGCTGAACTTTGATAAGGAAAAGTACAAATAGCATACGTCTCCGGAACTTAAAATATATTATCCCCTTAACTTTTGTTAGCCTCTGCTAACATCATTTTTCTTTATATTCTCTTCTTTTATAGCTACACCCGGAACTCGTATTTTTAGGATACACACAAACACACACACACACACACACACACTTAGCAGTTCATTGAAGCCACCAAATAGGCTCTGTAGCAAAGGTATCCAAACTATGGCAACTTTAAGACTTGTGGACTTCATCAGGATCTTCTGACATATATAAGTTCTATCTTAACTTTACAAAGAGGTAATAAAGATCTTTTATTATTTAGTAAAAAAAATTTAAGAAAATGAAACAAAAACTAGCCATTTCTACAATGACAAATCCATCTAATTGGTAAAACCCAAAATCCAGGATTCAGTTTTTTTCCCCACCTCGAGCACAAAGTCCAGAAATGGTTTCCAAGCAGAAACAAAAGTGATTGTGGTTTTATTTATTTATTTATATTTAATCAAAGCAGTCAGTTTAGCCACAACGTTGCTTCTGTCTGTATTGGTTCCTGCAGATTGGAGTATAAATATTCAAAACTGGTGATGACGGCCAATTCCAAGGAGTGTGAGCTTCCGGCTGCCGATAGCTGTGCTATCATGGAAGGAGAAGACAACGAAGAGGAAATTGTGTATTCGAATAAACAGTCCTTGTTAGGAAAACTCAAGTCCCTGGCCACCAAGGTAAGCATGGGAGAGAGAATTCTGACTGCAGAATCAACACCGTAGAATAAGCGAGGGGAAAATGCATGTGGATTGCCAAAATAGGTAGTAGCCTTCCTCTTACAAACCACTTCTTTAGTGACTGTTGGAAGTGGCCACAGCAGCGAAAAAATGTGCCTGACGACTGTTGCTAAAATTGCAGCATCCCCACAGTTGGAGTCTTCTGATGGGATCTTCTCTGTTGGCTTCCAACAAGCTGTTCTGACCTAGGTTTCCTTAGCAAGCATAACACACAATCTCTGTCCCGGCAAAACCTCTTTTATTCCACGGCTGTGAATTACGTTCATTCACAAGGCTTCACATACAGTCTTTCAGGGGGAATGTTGATAAACACCCACCTTATGGCACTTGGAATGTGGCCAGAGAACTAACTGCCTGACACAGGGCAAGGCCAAACTTGGCACAGAGTCAAACAGAACTTTCAGAGCTTGAACCGACCAGACGAAATAATTGCTTCCTGTAAAAGCTCATGTCCCCTTTGCTCCTCTTTTGTGTCCTGGGGGGGGGGGGGCAATCATCTCTGAGGTGTGGCCTTACTCCTGATTGACTCTGCTTTCTCAACTGTTCTTGTCTTCTGGTAGCCCTGCACATGCGCAGGCTGGGAACTGGCTCCAGAAGCTCCTCCACCTCACTGCTGTCCGAACCCAAAGGCAGCTGCTGACTGCTAGCCTGCCCTGGCCCCATCCCTGCCTCCGATGCAGAGTCCTCGTCCGAGCCTTCCTCAGACTCCAAGACCGGCCCAGGTTCCTCCCCAACCTCCTCACTACTGTGTTGACTCTGCTGCCAGCTCCGTCAGCTGCCGGCAGGCCACAACACAAGCAAAGTCAATAGGGAAAGTAGGATTTTCTTAATGACCACGATTAACCTAACAACAGTATTGATTCACTTACCAGCCGTGTGCCAAAAAGATAATAAAATCTGTCGTGACTGACTTAGCAAGCATCTCACTTAGCAATGGGAATTCCAGTCTCGGTTCGGGCCACCTGTACAGAATATTTCCTCAATAAAACTGGTTATTGCGCAGTGCAGTTTTGTAGGAAAACATCCTCTATGCTCTTCTTTTATTATTTCTTAAGGTACAAATCTTGTCTCTACTTTTTGTGATTGTTCCCCCCTCTTGCTCATTGGTTATTTTCCCCTTTTTAACTTGAGGGAGCTGGAACTGTTCCTTCCTGTAAAACGATGGTGTCTCCATATCCCTCTAAACTTCAAAGCAGCTTCCAGAAAATCTTTGGAAATCTATTTAACATTTAGACAAGGAAGCATATTCCAAATGGAATGTTTTCACAGGAAATGAGTGAGCGGGATACAAAGTTGTACTCCCCCCCCCCCCGATGTGTGATAAGTATACAAACTAGATACTAAATGTAATATTTAGAAACTCAGTCCTTGCACACAGATAGACACACACGGCTCTATGTGAGAGTCAATATTGTTGTTGTGCTTTCCCCTATTACGAAGAGCCGCGGTAGCACAGTGGTTTGAATGCAGCATTGCAGGATAATTCTGCCCACTGCCAGCAGTTCGATTCTCACCGGCTCAAGGTTGACTCAGCCTTCTGTCCATCCAAGGTTGGTAAAATGAGGACCCAGATTGTTGGGGGCAACTTGCTGACTCTGTAAACTGATCAGAGAGGGTTGTAAAGCACTGTGAAGGGTTACATAAGTCGAAGTGCTATTGTCATTTTGTAGTCTTGCTGGAACTACACTTCTTTGTGGTACGCTACACGAGGGAGGGCCCTTTTGCTTAATTGCTCAATTGGAGGATCCAATGATGGATCAGTGACCCCCTTCAAACTTTTTTCTTTTCTGACCTAGGAAAAAGAAGACCGCTTCGAATCTGTCCAGCTGAAATCCTCCAGATCTCAAAATATATGAAGGCTCGGTTTTGCCCGTTGTGCCCAATTTCTATTTCCAGGGGACCAATTTTTCAAACTCGTGCTGAGACCACATCGGAGGATTGGCTTCCTGGGTGAGAAACGTTGAGCGATGGGCAAAGGAAGCAACAGAGAAAGAGAAGAAAAGAGAGAGAGAGAGAGAGAGAAAGAGGAGACACTGCCTTATTGTGAGACTCAGTTGCCAAAAGCAAAGCCAGCCCTTAGCATCCTACAGCTGTGGCTCAACTCAGGGAATGAGGAACTATGGATGGCGTAGCCCGTTGGGTTGGCTCAGAGGCAGAAAATCTGCATGGCGTTTCCTTAAAATATACAGTAGCAAGAGATTGAGAAACCGACAGTTTTCTGCCCTCCCTGCTCCCTTGGTTGCCATCCTCCGTTCCAAACGTTGCTTCACTCTGTCCTGGGAGAGAAGGTCCTACCTGACGCCAGGTAGAGGCCTACCTGTGCATTGCTCTGGCATGGCCGATGCTGCTTCTCAGTATCCCTCAAGTTCCCTGCTGTCACCCACGCGAAACTGCTTGAGTTCTTAGAACACGACCAGGCTCCCCCGATGAGCTGGGAGGTGCCGCGTTGAGTTTTTGTCTTGAAATCGAAACATCCCTCAATGCTTGAAACAGAAGAAAGGTTCCAGTCTCATCTTTGGAAAGGGTTTCCTCCCCTCCTCCTCAACTTTGGCGAGGAAGATGCTTGATGCAGAAAGCCAAGGTGAGGTCTTGGTGAAGGCTGGGAATCTAGTTCCTCTCCAGCAGAAGCAGCTAAATCTAGCTGCAGATACGTCCAGGAGATGGCCCACACTCAAGGACGACAATGTGTCATTCTCTATGGGGTTATCCAGAAGGGCCCCACTACCCCTCCGTCTTTGACGGGACGTGTTCCCTAACAAGAAGGACCAGAGACCTGGTGCAGCTCACACCCAAACACATTGGCTTTACACAACCCCTTTCTTTATGGAGGCTCCTTTCCCCGTGATTTTGTTTGCTTTGCGTACACCTTCATCCACCCTGCGCACGCTATTTGGAAGGGCGGAAGAGGGGACTGTTAAGGACCTGGGTTTGTTAATGAGGAATTGAAATGCCTTGTAAAGCACCAATGGCCCATGGCTGCCGAATGTCCACATTCACCTGAAACGTTTGAACGCTTAAGGGCCATTTTTTTGGTCTATGCACACACGTCTAGACCTAGTGGGAAATAAATAGTGCAAATTGGGCTTCAAAAAAAAGTGACATAATCTTACTTACCTTGCACCAGTAGTGGTATGCTACTGGTTCAGCCTGGTTCAGCCAAACCGATAGCAAAAACTGGTAGTAAAAAACAGCCTCCGACAATCACCTGAGAAGAGAAAGAAGAGAAAAAGGCAAGATCGTCCCTCTCCCACCGGCCCCTGCGCTTTTCTCTTCTTGATCCTCTCAGCTGGTATGCGGAAAGCTGCGTGCGTGATCACCGAACCAGTAGTGCAACAGATAGGATCCCACTGCTTCCTTGCACACTTCTTCTGGGCGTGCGCTCCTTGTTGCAACAGAAGAAATATTCCAGGTGAACAGAGGCAGCAATTGGGTATAACAGCTGTGTGGGGGAAAAGAATTTAAATCATGGATCCTAAGAGCTTTTTTGTGGTCACAGTATCATTTTTCCAACAGGTGAGAAGCACCTGAACGGTAGCCCAGGGCTGGGAAAAAACCACAGGGCCATTTCCGTCTTCCTTATGGCCCTCCGTTCTTCTACCAACCGCCTTCCCATGTCAAAAATCAGCCGTAGGGATTTCCTATAATCTATCACATTTTTTCCCCCCAGAATTTCCAACATAAAGTCTATCAATGCAAAAATATCCATCAGCATAAAACCAGGGAGATAAATTCTATGAAAGATACAGTATGTTTTATAAATGTATAGTTAAATTATGGGTGAACCATGGACGGGGGATTTTAAATGAGTTCTAATAGGTTCTAAAATGGTTCTAATGAGTTCTAAATATATATACAGTATACATACATACATACATACATACATACATACATACATACATACATACCCTGTTTCTCCAACAATACGGCCTCCCCCAATAGGAAGTCCCAGCATGTTTTATAGACATGAAATGAAATTAAACCCCTCCCCCCAAATTAAGGCCTATATTAAAACATGCGAAATGGGGGGGAATGGTGGGGGGGGCTTGCCGTTAGGAAGTACTTTTGTTGCACACCCAGATATGGTGCTGCCTGCGTTGACCCCGATATGAAGTGCCCCACCAACGCTGAGGTCAACATCCAAGCCGTCGCCGCCCAACCGCCCGAGGATGCAAGGGGGGGGGAATTAAGTCACCCCCGAAAAGACGGCCTAGCCATTTTTTCGGGGCTCAAAAAAAAATAAGACCCGGCCTTATTATATGAGAAACACGGTACATACATACATACATACATACATATATATATATATGTGTGTGTGTGTGTGTGTGTGTGTAAAATACAAAGCACTGAAGAAAAAAATGAAGTGAGAGTACTGTAGTGAGGTTTCTTTTTAAAAGAAAAGAAAAAAAGCCATTCATGTGCTGTGGTTTACGGTGGACGTTTGATTAATCATCCTTCTCTGAATGAAACCTCCATCTGAAACTGTATGAATTCTGAATAATTATCCCAGATTCCCAATATCAGACTCTGAAGATTTATTAATCTTTCATAGGAGAAAGATAATTTACGTTTACCAAATGTGCTACATACAGTGTCAGAATATAAGATTTCTCCTCCTTTCTGTGTGTGTGTGGGGGGGGGGGGGAAGTCACAGAAATTCAGAGAGGCTCTGCAATTCCTTGTGGTTAAAACTGCGATGTGCCTCACCCCGACAAACACAGGCACACAAAGGATGCAAAAGAAACAAAACGAAACCCCAGCACATTTTCTTTACCTTTGAATGCTTGAACAAAACAGTCTCGTGCATTTTTACTCAGAAGTCGGTTGCAGGGGGTTTCCGTGAGATTTACTCCATCGTCACTATGCATTGGATAAATAATTATAAAGGCCCCCCCCTTTTTTTTGTATATTTGGTGAGCTTTTATCTATAACGTTTTCTTTATTTATTTGCTGTAACTGTTTGGGATTCCTTGACTTAACGACCACAATGGAGCCCAAAATTTCCATGGCTAAAAGAGAGAGGCAGTTCAGTGACTTTTGTCCTATTTTACGACCTTTCTGGCCGAAGTTGTTAAGTGAATCACTACAATTGTTAAGTTAGTAGCACGGTTGTGATGTGAATCTGGTCCCCCCCCACCACAGTGACTGCTCGTCAGATGGTCACAAAAGGGGATCAGGTCACACACACACACACACACACACACACACACACACACGCATACACACGGGACACTACAACCGTCATAAATATGAGTCAGCCAAGCATCTGAATTTTGTCCACGGAGATGCTGCAACTGTGATTAAGTGTGAAAAATGGTCTCTCCTTGTTTTCTTCCTTTCTGTGAAGACCAAAACATGGATTCTTTCTCATTTTCCTCAAGGGCATCTCTTTTACATGCTTCATGGGGGTAGGGTCAGAACCTGTGGCCTCTGGGCGAGGTTGAACATGTCTTGCAACCTTAACAGGGCTGTTGGAGAGCAGGGGAGGTTTAGCAAAGCAGGGGCCTAATAGAACCTGCCTTGATGCCATGCACAACACAACGTCACACGAATTCCGGCAAGTATGTTGTTTGCGTCGTGGTGCATTGAGGTGTGGCGTGTACGGCGTCCTCTCCTCAATAGGCTGACTATGTTTGGCCATTTTTGGGAAGGAACACATGCTTCCCTTTCTTACTTTATAATAATATCCCCGGGACAGAAGGTCTACCAAAAATATAGGTTCTCCGTGTTGTAGGAGAGCCTGCCAGACAGAAAAGTTTAGTCTCCCTACTGCATCTGAAGCATCCAACGGCTTCAATGAAGACAATAGCCAAACTTCGGTCAACAGCTTCAAAAGTTCAGCCCACCGAAGTTGAGTAGGTGGTTCCACTTGGTTTACTTTTAATTGAGTTGGTAACAGAGTTTAGCTTGGCAGCGTCTTGAATGGGTTTCAAATCAGCTCTTAGAGCAGAGTTCGTTGTGGTTCGCTGGCAACCTGTGCAGACAGCAGTGGATTCGGACAGTGGGGAAGAACAGGGACCAGTCCGGGAATCTGGGAAGGACTCGGACGAGGGTCCTGAATCTGATGCAGAGATGGGGCCAGGACCATCAGGGAGTTGTGTGCTGACTCCGGAGCCTCCAGAATCTGACAGCAGTGAGGCAGAGGAACAAGAGGAGCCTGTTCCCAGTATGCGTATGTGCAGAGCTGCTAGAAGTTGAGAGCAGCTAAGACAAAAGGGGAGACTCAGGAGTAAGGCTGGGAGGTGATTGCCCCTCCCATAAGGTATAAAGGAAGTGCAAAGGTAGGAAAACTTTTGCAGGAAGCAACATCGTTTGTTCTGATCAGTTTAGACTCTGAAAGCTTTGTGGTGAATTTGTTCTCTTGTTTGGTTTTGGAAAGACTAATTGGGACTTTAGTCATTGACAGTACTTCAAGTCAGAAAAGGTGTGTTCTTATCAGACGTCTCTGGAAGAACTTTGGCAGATGTCCCTGGGACTAATAATAACCGGTTGAGACTCATTCTGGGCTGTGAATGATGATCATTCACAGCCATTGAACTAGAATAAAAGAGTTTTGGATTTTGTGACTGTTTGTTGGTGTCTCAGGAAGCCATGGACAAAACAGAGCTCTCCAAACTTGGCAACTTTAAGACTTGTGGACTTCAACTCCCAGAATTCCTCATCCAGCAGCTGAGGAATTCTGGGAGTTGAAGTCCACAAGTCTTAAAGTTGCCAAGTTTGGGGACCCTTGTCTTAGAGCGAGGTGGAACTACATAGGGTATCATCCTGGCTACAGTTCACCCTCTGCAATTTTCAATGGGGAATTTGAAGTGTTAGTAAGAGTATCAAAATCTCTCTTGGTGCCTGTGTCTGTGAAGAGGTATTAACAGATGTTTCCTTGAGAAGACCAGGAGCCACTTTGGGAATTATGTGAAGACAGGGAAGGGGCTTGGTTGAACTTCAAGGCGGTCCCAAGGGCTGATGAGCCAATGAAAAGATTTTGTTAGCAAAATTCAGAATATAGGTAGTCCTCGGCTTACGACCACAATGGAGCCCAAAATGTCAGTCGCTGAGTGAGAGACACAGGCTGAGTGAGTTTTGCCCCATGTTACGAGTTTTCTTGCCATAGTTGGGCTATATGACCTACAAGGTCCCTTCCAACTCTGATTATCTGTTATCTGTTAAGTTGTTAAGGGAATCACTGCAGTTGTTGAGTTGGGGACACGGTTGTTAAATGAATCCGGCTTCCCCGTTGACTCTGCTTGGTCGCAAAACATGACCCTGGGAAACTGCGACCGTCATAAATAGGAACCAGCTGCCAAGCAGCTGAATTTTGATCAGGTGACCTTGTGGAATGCTGCAACAGTCATAAGTGTGAAAAATGATCACAACTCACTTTTTTCAGTGCCGTCATAACTTGGAATGGTCTCTAAATGATCTCTTGTAAGTCGAGGAGTATCTGTATACATATAACTCACCTAACTGGAAAAGGAGCTCACCCTAAAAGATCATACTAATTTTGGGTGGGCTGGG